CAAAAAAAATGAAAAATGATTTGAATAGCAATGAAAAATTATGGGCATCATAGAGATGGAAATTAATTCAATATTTAAGGGATTTACAGAATAAAATCAATATTTATTTCTACTCTTTTTTTTCTAATTCAATTGCCCGTCTAAAATTATCAACTCATCCTAGTTGACCAAAATTACAAATTTTCAATTTTTTTATTAAATTTCAGAAATTTCAGACATGAGATCCGTAATTCTAGGCTGTGTATACACAGCTGAAAACACCCAGAAAGTACTGTTTCCGGCCATCTGGGGGCTTTTAGATTCCAAAAATTTTCTGGTGCGCTCCGCGCCAACCGATCGTGGCGCTCCGCTTAGATAGTCCTGCCGGCACGAAAACCATCCTGGGCAGAACCCTGTGTATGTGATGGAGGACAATGCCATCTGATGAGTTTGGCATCCTTTTCTTATCTGTTTTAGGCTGCAAATTGTCAACATCCACATGCTTGATTTTGCACCAAAAACAGTTTCTGGGAAAGCACAAGGTTTTCTAAAGATTTATCAGATACATGTATGTGCATTATTCAGAAAGTTTTTTTAATACATTTACCATTTATATACCGGTACTGTATTTTCCAAGCAATAACTTGACCCAGGAGGGTATTTTACCTTGAAAAATTCACCTTTTTTCTTGACTTTTACTCAACCACACACAAACTAAGTACATGTACATGTATCAGAAACTAAAGATTACATCTTGACAGCTGTAATGATTTAGCAGTCTGAGTACATTTATAGCCTTCCAAATCAAATACACTGTGGTAGTACTGTGCATTGTATGTACAGTACATGTGTGTGAAGTTCCCTGTGCTAAAGCTGGCAAGTGGTGCCAGGTCTAGGAGCCTGGGACAGAAGATAAAGAGTATCCTCCTTCATGTAAATTGCGCTGTGAATCTTGCCTTGCTGGGTGATTAGTGAATAATTGTTGTTCATGCCGAAACCTAGCCCTGTTCTCATGATTCTGTTGCCAAGACATTGCCAATTTTTCATTGTGTGTGTGTGTAGATAGAAGGAGACATTGACCACCACCCTACTAGGATTTATTCCTGAATTGTTAAAGGATCCAGGAAATAAAGTTTTCTTAGAATCACATTTTGTGTACCTCTGTATTCTTCTTCCATAAAGACTGTTTGACATCTTTTTTGAGTTACGTGAACTGACTGGTGTACTTTTTCACACATAAAACATTGACCAGGCATTTATGGTCAAGTGAGGGCACAGATCAGTGCAAAATTGAGATTCAGTGCCTTGGATGATGTCATAGTTTTGCTCATGAATATGCAAATAAGCATTAGCATAAAAAGCATCAAAATATGGGTTAAAATTATAAAACAAAAATTTTGAATCAGGTTAATTGAAACCAAAAGACGCAATTTCAAGGGTTTTAGTACTAGCGGCCACGTGCTTCCAAAGATCATAGAAATGCATACATGTACATGCACGTTGGTTTGCCAGTGTTTTGTAGACCTACATGTACTATTACATGTACATGTAGTTTTGGGTCAAGGATACCTAAGGAGATTAGTTTCTTAATTAACACCAGAATGGAGCTGGCCCAAACTTATGCATTTTTTTCTTTCCCGTGTATTAGCAACACAGATGAAGGGTCAACTGTGGTCAGGATCAACCCGGGGAGTCCACACCCCTCTGTACCTGCCCATCCATGCCAAGTTTACTTTGCGGGTCCTGCTGGTTGTCATTGCTGTGCTACTCCTGGGCATTCTGGTCACTGTCTGGAACATCTACCAGCTGCGCACAATGCAGGAGACACACCTCAGTGGGTTCCACTCCAGTGTGGAAGGGATCGGCACATCTGGAGAGGAGGCTAAGCCAATCCTGTGGCTGCATGCAAAACGGGTTAGCAGACATACAGTGTATTCCTGTCTAATACCCACAGGGCCCCACTAAACGGAAATACATTTGCTTTACAACACATGTATGTGCACATGTACATGTATATATCACACTGACAAATGTAGGCCTGCATAAAATTCTTTCACTTGAATGAATTACAGGAACTTTAACTATTTTTGCCAATTATACATGTATGTATATTTGCATGTATTGCACATGTTCATGTGTATATATACAGTATGAGCTACAAATGCATGACATCTAGATGAGAAAAACTGTTTTGGGTATAAACAGAACACCGAGCAACTTTCGTACATTGTCATGTCACCGTCCAAAAATTGGTCTGTAAACTCACACATGCAGTTTACCAAATAAACAGATCAGAATGGTAATATGGTGTCTGTACATGCAAGTTCTTACACTGGGCGTCTGATGAAAAAATATCATGCAATGGCAGTGGATTGACTCAGATTTCCTTGGATTACAAATTGAACATTTCGACAGTCATGCATGTAACAGCTGTACCAACATGTATGACAAAGGTTTCGACCCCTCCTTGTTCCCTGTTTTAGGAAACGTTTCATGTGCATGTTGCCCGTACATACTGAGTACGAGGCTATGTTTATGTGGTTTAACTGGAACACATCAGCAAGTGTAGGCTTGATGCGATACACAACGCACGCTCGTAACGAACAGGACGCGATTGCAATCATGGTGAGAAAAGTTTACAAATTTAATTTATGGCAACAGTTGCAGATTCCTCGGCCGTTCTAAATTCACAGATGGATCATTTTTAATCGATTGGGGCAACTGGGCAAACTAAAACTTTTGGCAGTGATAAAGCAGCATCAGCATGCATACCAGTAACCACTCAGGACACCACATCTTACAAATGTTACCATAAACTATGTTGACTTTGCAAAATACACGATCTGTCAGTTATTCAACTGTATACATGTACGTACATGTATTAGCATTCAGAAGGCATAACATCAAACACAACACGAAAAAAATCAAACAACATCTATAGCAGTTATTACAGACTTTTTAATCCGCCAGTATTTCTACTGTATGTCACATTTTGGTGTCTTGTTTACAACCGTTACCATCATGTTTAGTCCTCATAAAAATTTGGTGGTTGTGTTTATGTTGACAATATTAATGCATTTATAACTTTGTGCATTGAGGTCCACATTAACCACATTTCTTTTGAGACTACACATACAGAATTTTTTTCAAACGGGTCTTTATGTACCCAGTCTAATGTCTCTCTAGTATTAAATAGTTACACATATACATGTATATTGATCCTCATTCTGGAAGTGTTTTTGTGAGCAATTTTTCTTACTCCTCCAACTCCATCAGTTTGATGTCATGCCATCTGTTCCATGCCCTTCAGGCCATTTTGAATTTTGGTTGATTTCGAGGTCCAATTATTGTTGACAAATGCATGTACCGACCCCCAAAACTCTGAACCAGATAAGTTATCAACTATTCTTTCCCCAACCTCAACAGATCGAGTCTGGCTACCTGGATCACATACTGCGAGTCTTTGAGCGGATTGGCTACAGGAGAGGGGGCCCCGACTCCGATTGGGATGTCCTGTGGGCGCATGATTACCCCTTCACAGAGCTGGCCATGGAAATAGGCAAAATGAAACCGCACCAAAAGGTACGTGTGCCACATATCATGAAATTCCTCAATGAAGGTGAGATGATTACCCAGTTGAACAAATTCTGTATCAGTAGAGGAACTGTCATTAATGTTTGAACAGCACCCAAATTTTCAGACATTTTGTTTGTTTGCCCTTATAAGTCAGCCAAGAGTGATAACTTTACTCATTGGTGTGCTCAATTCACTGACATTTATGAGGCTATGAATTGTAATTGACCACAACCACAAAAGGCTATGTTGAATTGAAAACTGCACAGATGTACACATTCATGCCAAGTTTCAAAAAGATCGGCGTGGCTCAGCTGAGATCTTAGGGGCAGAAATCAACCCCTCCCATGAGGCTGTGAGAAGGTCCAGAAAAGCACAGCTTTTTTAAGATTGTAACTAGCAACTTTTGTCTCTTTCCAATGTGAATTAATTTTCATCCCGGATATTCGTTTTCTAGTTAAACCATTTCCCAGGTACTGGCTTCATCACACAGAAGGTCCACTTAGCCACTTCCAGCATTGACTTTGTTCCTAAAGCTTTTAAACTACCTCAACAGAGTGAGGAGTTCAAAGCATGGGTGAGGACCAAGTTAAAAGTTTTCTTCTGAAAAAAATATTAAAATACTAAATTAGGTTAGGCTTGCAGTTGCACTATGTACAAGAAAATGAGAAGAACAGATGGTGAACACTCAAACGTTACGAACAGTATGCTCTTTTTGTATACTGTTGGAACATCGAGTGTTCACCATCGGTTCTTCTCAGAACCAAACACTCATAAAAGAGAAATTTTCTCGTACACAGTGCAACTGCAAGCCTAACCTAATTTAGTACTTCCACCATGCGTAGCTTCAAGTCTTATCTACATGTACCTAAATGCCAGCCAGTTCCCAATCACAGTTTATTTCCACGCCAGACCAAATGTACCTGCCATGGCACATTGAGGAAAGATCCCCATTTATGACTTTTGAGATACATGTATGCATAGAATAAAGAGAAAGGAATGGGCTTTCCCGTGATACCCCATTTATACTTGTAGCCCACTCCAGTCTGAAAAGACAATGCGAGAAAGACGAGGGGAAACATCGCCATGGTCAAGACTACTTTTAGAGAAAACCAGCTTTGAAAAAAAGAGCAGTCTTGTCGTCTTTCCAAGAGTCTCTGTGCGGCTCTCAATTTTATTACCGTCCTGTAATTTATTGTTTTTCTTCTGTGTTTTTCCAAGGCATCTAAAAACCCTGACAAGCTGTGGGTGCAGAAGAGCAATGCACACAGGGGCATAAAGGTCAAGCCTATATCAGGTGAGTTGGAGGGGGGACCTGGAGGGCTAAGGGAGTGTGGGGTTGTGAAATAAGTGAATGTACTGATGATAGCTTAGAAGTCAATGTGCAAAGATATAGCATATTCTCATAGGGTGCCGGGTCTGCCAGTTTTCGAAAGAATGTGCACAGATGATGGCAAGCATACAAGGTGACCTCTGAGACCAAGTGTCAGAACTTTTTCAGGGCTGGCCCTTTATCTTAGCGTAACATTCAGTTGTCCCTCAAACTGTTACAAAAACAGGGCTGATTTTCGTGAAACTTGACATCCATGTTAATGCACTCATGAGTACAGCTGTGAAGTTTCAATTCACTTGGTCATAGGGTTTTGTTATGATGATCTGTAGTTCACAGACTCCAGCCTGTCACTGGGAAAAGTGGAAACTTTGTTTGGCCGGTCTCCCAAATATGAGTATTTTGCAAGAACCTGGTGTCCAATTTTCAGAAAGTTGGTATCCAAATGATGATAAGACATTACTGAAAAACTCCCAAAGGCTTTGCAAGGCTAACTGAGGATTCACTGCACCATCTTTTTAATATTATATTTCAAATTTCCTTCATTTATTTTAGAGTTGGACCTCAGTGCAGCTAACAGCTTCATTCAGGAGTTTATTGACAAGCCTTTCCTTATAGACGGCCGTAAGTTCGATATTGGTGTGTACATCGTGGTGACCTCTGTTGACCCTCTGCGAATCTACATAGTTGACGACGAGACACTTGTCCGTTTCTGTTCCAAGGATTATCACCCAATAGACTACAATGTCGTAGACAAATATGTAATTGGTGATGATTACACTCCGATGTGGCAGGTACAGAAAATGAAGAAATCAAAGAAGGATTACTACAAAGTATATTAATATTAATATTATGACTGCTCTTCTCAATTTCACTATTTTTAAGAAAAGAAAGGCCCTTGAGTTTGCCTGTTATGTTTTTTAAGTTGGATAGCAACTGGATAAAACTCTTCATAAAGATTTCATATTTCTCCTGAAGTTGAAGTCAACAAATATTCCTGTGGTTTGCAATAAAAGTTGGAAAAATTTGTACATTGTATGGTATGCTTGTTAGCTTTAAACAATTCCAAATGCATTATATGTACTTGAATAATGAAATTGAAAAATACTGAATACTTTATTTCACTTTTTTGTTCCTTTTAGGGGGTTGTAAAAACCAGGTAATTCAAATGCATTTTGTTGCTTTTTACACAGATGCCTTCCTTTGAAAAACTGTACAATGAACAGCATTATTCGTTCAGGGAATCCTTGAACTCATACATCAGATCCCAAGGTATGTTTCCCAGACCTTCTCCTGGAAAGGAAAGAAAGGAAACAATTTTATTGAGGATCTGAGCCTCTTTTGAGAAAGTCCCAGGCAACATAATGCTTGAAATCAGATCCATAACTTGTTATAACCTGCAATGCGCAATATGAGTGATTTAATGAAGTTGATGCATTGACTTACATTTGCCCCAGTAACAGCATAAAAGATTTTATGTATTACACTTAGTTCGTGACTGAAAGCAGGGTTGTCCAATTACAAGTGTTGTAGTTTAGATCCCTGAATTAAGACCATCACAAGACACTCCAAGACCAACACACTACCTCCGGCCTGAATTCAAATCATAAGCTATTCTACTGAACTGACCAAAAGTATTCCTTTGTCATCGTTCACTTTGTACACGAAACTCAGTTGCATGAATGTCTTATGATGGCCTCATAGCACTGAAAATCCCTCATGGCCAAAAGAAAAATATCAGAAACGACAAATGAAAATGTTGGAAGCTAAGAATGTCATGTATAAATTGACCATCAGAAATCAGTGAGGGCTTTGCATGTACATATTCATGGTCATTCCACGTAGTTGAATGTTCAGTGACATGTGGATATTTTTTCCAGGCCTAGGGGTTCACTCAGATAGCTCATTTGTTATTTGCAACATCCTAGTCGTTCCAGAATGTTCCACAGTATTTTGAAATTATTGGGCACGGTTTTTTAAAGAGTATCTGTTTGTGGATATGACAGGGACACTACATCTTTATCAAGTTTGATAACCAGAAGAAAGGTCAATAGCCGCATTATAAGCAGCAGCGTTAAAATCCAGTGAGTGGCCCTTCATCTACAAAGTGTCCCAGTGTCACCAAACATTCCTCAATTCCACACAATGACCTTGTAAATTTGTTTAACTACATCCACTTCATGCCGGGGCATTTTTCAATGTTGATGATGCTGGGCCGGCATTACTATCATTTTTTCCGTTTTCAAAATCCGTCAAAAATTCATCATTTCATTTAACGGTCATTTATAGCGGCACCAAT